GGGGGGGTAGGTGGCACATGGGCGCAACCTGCCCATTGTAAGCTAAGAGAGGCCTTTGGCGTGATCTGACACCCTTCCCCTGTGCTAAATCCCTTGGGGATCTCAGCAGGGAGCCCTGTGATCTTCCAGTTAACGAGCATTCTCCAGTGACTCACACAGTGCGAGAAACAGACCCATGCGACGCAGTGACCTACATTGTATCACACCCCACCCCCTTTCTGAGGGCAATGCCCCACGACCCCCTTCCCCGTGGGGCCAGCTGATCCTGAGCAGGAACGCATCGCTGCCGAGGGCCTGGGGGAACAGGAGGGGGACTAGGCAAGGGAGGTGATGGGGGATAGAAGCTACCTGCCAGGGAAGCAGCTCAGCAGTTGGTGTGGCCTGAGGTCGTGGGGGGTAGCAGAGAAAAGCCACTACAGAAGTTAACTGGCTCGAGGGGAGAACAAAGCCGTTCGGGGAATTCCCTCCTGGGAGCAGTGGTGTGCAGGGTAGGGATGTAAGCGACTAATTGACTAGCTGCTTCCCCCCCACCTGCTGCTTCTATCAGAAAGAGGCTGCAAGGGAGGGATGAGGAGGGGGTGCTGGGGGAGCCGGCTTAAAAGCCAGTCCCCCCCAGCTCCAGCTCTGTGGGAGGGGCGCAGAGGTGGCGTTCCACCTTCAAAATGTACAAGGGTCCTGGCTGGGGCTCTTGTCAATTTCAAAGCGGAAGCGCCACATGGAGCCGGGGGCCAGTGGGGGACTCAGAGTCCCCCGCTGGCCCTGGGCTCCACGCGGCGTTTCAATCATTCCAAAGGCGGAACGCCACCCGGGCTCTTGCTCCATTTCAAAGCGGAAGCGCCCTTCTCGACTAATCAACTAGTCAATGGAAATTCCATCGACTATTCGACTCGTCGATTAAGCTACTTCCACATCCCTAGTGAAGGGCAGACAGGTCCCTTCCCCACGGCCTGCCTGAGTGTGAGCAGACAGCCCCTTCCACGGAGCAATGCTGGGGACGAGACCCCAGCTCGCACCGCATCGCCCCCCCCGGAATTCAAAGCCAGGATCCAGAACCTGGCTGCAGCTGCCGGCCTGGAAATATCCCCAGCGCTGGGATCGATTCCACCAGGGAGCGCTTGAAAAGCACTGAGGAGACTTAGACCCTGAAATTCCACTGAGGGTCTCAAAGGGCTTTGCCGACCACGGACCCCACAATGGCCCCCGAAAGGCAGGTTGGCTACTCCCCCCGTTCCAGACAAGCCGAGTCAAGCACGCAGAGGGACAAAGCCATTTTGCCTATGTTCAAGCCGGACGATAGGGACAGGCCCCTGGCTCCGGCCGCTATACTGCACTCTCCAGCCACCAGTCCGTGCTCACTGGCTTCGAGTGCAGCAAGGGAGGTATAGGCTGGACAGTAGGAAACGCTTCCTAGATGCCCAGGGGGTTAAGCACTGGAATAAACTGCCCAGGAAGTGGTGGAATCTCCATCCCTGGAGATTACGAGCAGAACAGACAAACCCCTGTCAAAAACGATAATATTCAGTCCTGCCGCGAGTGCAGAGACTGAGGCGACCTCTTGAGGTCCCTTCCAGTCCTTTGACCCTCTGATTCTACCCTCGCTTATTCACTTAGTCAGCCTCTGCCCCAACCCTGTGGCCAGAACAAAAGCCCCGCCCCCTAGCGTCTCTGCCCAACACGGGCCAGCGACGATGAATGACCCGTGACAAGTGAGCTGCAGAGCATGGAGGCGCCAGTGGCCGGTTCATGACGTTTGGGCTCAGAGTTGTACGTCGTTGCCTATGTAACCTGTGAGTGGCGGGGAGGCAAACGCTCGGCCCCACTTGCTCACTGCAGGCAGGGTGGGGTGAAGAAAAGTTCTGGGACACCGAATTGCTATTCCTGGCATCCCGGAGAAGCCTCCCATAAGGAGCTAGCCTGTGGGATGCCAGGGGAGCATTTGCCTGGTACAAGAACCTGGCATCTCCAGGCTATTGTCCAGGCGAGGGGTGCCGGGCAATTCAGTCAATTCATGGCCCCACCCTTCTGTCCTGTGCATGCTGACAGGTTCAATTCTATTCATCCACGGACAGCTGCGGGACGGAGGGCGGCGTTTGACCTCTGTCATTGTCACAGGAACATGCTGGAAACCGATGCAGAGAGCTGCCTGGGAGGGAAGATTTAAGGACGCAAACCTTGGCTAAACAGCCATATATGGGCCCATCCCCGCTGCTGGCCAAGGAACTCTGGGGCATGGACGTGACCATGGAGGCGAGCCCTAAGAAGGGGCAGGCGGGAGTTGAAAGGTGCAAGCATCACAGGGGGAGGGGAACTGGTTAGGGTGGCCCCGGGGGATTGTTAAGCCTAGGAAAGGCTGAATATCAGGACATGCTTCCCGCCAGGGAGATCAAGTAGGCTGCAGCATCCTCCCCTAAAAGCAAGGGGTGGGATACGCTGCCGGGAGACCCATGAATTGGGGGAGGAGTAAAGGGAATTTGATGGGTCCTTCCCAGTTCTGTTTTCAAATCATTACGGGGGTCTGCATGGCCCTTCAACTGCGCTGAATGAGAGCAGCCGCCCCCGGGGCCCTCAGCCGGAATCAGAGCAGAGAACAAGGGGAAAGCAAACAGTTACCAAACAAGATCCCAGCCGAGACCGGCCGCAGCGTTACTGCGAGGGCACCCACCTCATTGCGAGAAGCTGCTGCACGGTGCAGCGGCGTTAGCCACACGGTGTCCTTCGCGTTCACGTTAGCACCTGGGGAGACAGAGCAGACGGGAGGTGACCACGTCCAGGCAAAGGGCCCAGGCTGCCAGACGAGCCAACGCGCCATCGCTGTGGTGCATCTGCTTGGTTAGAGAGCATGTCAATTTCCTCGGTTAAAGGAGGAAGCCTTTTGAGCATAGTTGGCTTGACCGCAAGGTCAGCAAAGCGATGGCATTTTGGGGGAGGGGGCAAATTCACACCTCAGAGCGGGGAGTTAAGCCAATCCAAGCCCCGGTGTCGACACGGCTGGGGGGATGGAAGGACCCCTTCTGTCACGTAGGCAATGTCTACCCTGCGGCACAGCTGCAGTTCTGAAGCCATGATGCCGCCTTGTAGAGCTGGCCTCCGTTTCGATGCCGCAAGAGACAGCGTGCAGCACCAGGGGCATAAGCTACGCTCCGCAGAGGGCTGCGTTAGGAACCTGTCAAGGGCTGCGGCTCTTTGGCCTGGCGCAGAGAGAACTCAGCCCAGGAGTGGATGGAAAAAACTGCATTTCCCAGCAGGCACTGCTCAGCCTGGCTCTCAGCGGCCACAAGACTACCAGTCCCAGAATGCAGTTCCTCGTTGTGATCTAAAAGGAGGCTGCTGGGACAGAGATGGCGCATGTCAAGCTGGAACCGGTAGGTCTCTGTTAGTTGTGCCTCTGTGGTCCTGACGAAGGAGTTCGCGGCTGCACTGCAGGAATCGGTGGGCTCTGCTTATTTCACCCCTGCTCTGCCAGACCCTGGCTCTCCTGTGTAGAGCTTACCTGCCCTGAAAGCCACAGGCAACGGGAGGGAGAAAGGGGGGGGTTTCTCATGCTGTGGCTGGAGCACCACCCCTTCAAGCAGCCAGGCCTAGTTAGCAATGCTCAGGGAAACTATTTCCCCAAAGCTCTGCTTGTTGGGCTGACTAGGATCTGCTGACAAGCCGAGGGTCCCTAGCGGGGAGCAGTGCAGGTGGAGGTGGGTTGAGGGGCCTTGTTTCTCCCACCTGTGACGTGAGAGAGGGAGTGTGGACGCCGATGTGAGCTGTTTCGGAGGGAAATGGAGGGCGGGTACCTAGAGCTAGAAGGAAACACGCTGCAGGGCAGGTGCTGAGCCACATTCTCTGGTCCCTAGCCCACTTGTGCAGTTCCCCCGGCCGGTGCGGTCAACACTCTTCAAGCCTGAACAGCCCCCGGCGCCCCACCCAGAACTCAACGCCCCCCAGTCCCGATCCATAACCTAGTACAGCGAGAGGCGCCCCCCACCTCTGCTGGTGCCCGATCTCCAGACCAGTCCCAAGTTGTTTTAAGATTTGCACAAGCGTCTTCTCGGGATCTGGGGGAGAGCAACCAACCACACTGCCCTTGTGACTCAGGCAACGACTGCTGCGGAGGAGAATCCCTTGCACCCCGGCACCCTGGCGCTGCAGCCCTTCTGTGCTAGACCCCGAGGAGGGTCTGGCCAGCTGAGCCTTCGTGCACCCGTGCTGCCAGCTGTACTGGGCAGGCCTTCCCTTACCTGACAGTATTAGGAGCTCAATGATTGGTACATCTCCTAGGTAGGCAGCAGCATGCAGGGGGGTTCGGCGTTCTTGGTCCTGCAAGGGAGATAAGACAGGCCGTGATGCACCTATCGGGGGGGGGGGGGCGGGGAGGCAA